TGCTCAGCTCGGGCTGACTCGAACCACTGTTGCTCAGAGCTCAAACTCTTGAGCGAGCTCTTAACCAACTGAGCCACTCAGCCGGCCCTTCTTTCTGGGTTTTTTAAATTAAGGTTGTGCCTCACTAATCATTAGAAAAGTGCAAATAAAAATGACAATGAGATACCACCTCACCCCGGTCAGAATGGCTATTATCAATAAATCAACAAACAACAAGTGCTGGTGAGGTTGTGGAGAAAAGGGACCCCTGGTGCACTGTTGGTGGGACTGCAGATTGGCGCAGCCACTATGGAAATCAGTATGGAGGTATCTCAAAAAACTGGAAATGGAGCTACCGTATGACCCAGCAATTCCACTCTTAGGTATCTATACAGAGAAACTCAAGACTCTAATTCAAAAAAATATATGCACCCCTATGTTCATTGCAGCGCTATTTACAATAGCCAAGGATTGGAAATAACTGAAATGCCCATGTAGATGACTGGATCAAGAAGTGGTACATTTACACAGTGGAGTATTACTCAGCTCTAAAAAAGAATTAAATCTTACCATTAGCAATGATATGGATGGAACTAGAGAACATTATGTTAAGTGAAATAAGTCAGAGAAAGACAAATACCATATGATCTCACTTAGATGTGGAATCTAAAGAACTGAATAAATGAGCAAAGTAAACAGAAATAGTCTCAGAGATATAGAGGAAAAACTGATGGTTACTAGATGGGGGTGGGGTGGGGGGTGGAGACAAGGGAGAAGGGGAAGGGGTTAGACAGCATAAATTGGTAACTACTATTGCCACAGGGATATGAAAGACAGTTCAGGGAATATAATTAATAATGTTATAAATATTTTGTAGGGTGGACACAGGTCTTGTTAGGGAGACCACTTCATGGATGGTATAGAGCTTGACGACTGCACTGTACACCTGAATAATATATACAGGATGTGGAATATAGTGTGGGGAGTGGAGTCAATGGAATTGTAATAGATATGTGTGATATCGGAGGTGGGGGGCGGTGGGTTGGGGGAGGGGGGTTGTCACTTTGTGAGGGGTGAAAAGTAGAAGAACTATTGCATTGTTTTGTACACCTGAAACTAATTTTTTTTAAAGTAACTTTAAAAAAAAAATTAAGGTTGTGAAAGGCAGTTTCTGGAGGGCAGAAAAAGTTCTATTTTTGACCTGGTGCTGGCTGAGTGTGTTCACTTAGACCACTAAGTGTCTTGGAGATTTGTACCTTTTTCAGTATGTACATTTTACAACAACAAGAATAAAGACTTTGTGATTTAGTATGAGAGGAGTATCAGCTCATCTGTTACCAGAAAGAAGAAAAGAAGGTGATGCAAGAAGAGGCTAATCTGTTTTAATTGATGTGAAAATGGGGAGTCCAAGATGAAAGTGAGGAGTGATCCAGTAATTTTATTTTTGGGTATTTATTTTATTTTATTAAAAAATTTTTTTTATTTTAAGGAGGGTGCCACTCAAAGCCCATATGGGGATCTAACTAGCAACCTTGGTGTTATTAACACCACTCTCTTAACCAACAGAGCTAACTGGCCACACCTTGGGTATTTATTTTAAAGAAATAAAGATGTGTGCTAACTTTTAGCAGTATTATAGCAGTGAAAAATGGAAACAATCAAATGTTGAGTAATAGTTAAATAAATGATGGCACAACCAAAAATGGAATGTTATTTTGCCATTAAAAAGCATGTCACAAATGTTTATTAAAGCCATTTATAAAAAGCATCGTGCAATCCCCTTTTTTTCTTCAAAAAGCAAACTATATATTTTACATATACGCATAGAAAATAATCAGGAAGAATGTATACCATAATACTAATAGTGGATTATACCTGAAGTAAAGAATTATGGGTGATTCTGATTTCCTTATCTATTTAAGCTTTTTCTTCCAGCAAGCACACATTTCTTGGATACCATAAGAGAGGAGATGCATGTGCAGGGCAGCAGTTTAGGCAATTAGCCTCCTCACCAGAACCGAGTCTGTTCTGCCACGTCCTTACAACTGCAGGTCGAGGGGAGGCCAGGGCACTGCTGGCAGCTCTTTAACAATTCTGTCTTTACAGACTAAAGAGTCATCAGTGATCTCAGGAGCATGTTCAAATATGGTATCTCAAATTTAGAGATTCAAGAGGACCTCCAGTCAACTTTACTGATGCTCATCAGTAATCATATTTGTAAAGGGGTGGCTTCTCCTCTTTCATGGTTCCCTCTGCAATGAAGGATTGGGAGCGTAGTTTTACCTCCACTTAGAGATTTCACAGAGATTTTCTTTAGAGATCGAGTTATTCATTTTCCAGGATTCAGTTCACCCCATCCACTTTATTTGAGGAATTTCTGCTGTCTATACAATTTCATGCTTGCTTATAGAAAAGTCTGATACTGTTCAAGTACATTATAGAACTCTGCAAAAGGCAGAAATTCTCTTATTTCATTACCTTCTCAAGGTGCTGGGTGCAGTAATGGGGGTCTATCACAGGTGCTCAAGAAATGACTTGTTCCCTTGTGGTTTGAGACACAGAACCCCACGCTGAGAGAGAGGCCTCCTGGAGAAAGACCTGAATGGTGTGGAAGAAGAGAGCCGGGCTTTGCTTCTCCCCATCTCTGGACTTCAGCGTCCTCCTCTGTAAACTGGGTGGAAGACAGGTTTGGACCAAGTGGTCATGAGGCCCCCACCAGTTCTAACGGCCTGGTCTGAGAACACAGCCTGTCCTTTCCCCCAATATGTGTGCACAATGGTATTGTAACCTTTACAGTATACCTGAGGCATTATCTAATTTTGTTTTGTGTCAATTAAAGACATAAAGAAAAAGTAACACTTCTCCCACCAACCAACAAAGATAATAATAATGAGAATGAATACAATAAGGAAGGCTGAAAAAACCAAAAAGGAACGACTGTTGCTCTCCTTGTAAGGACAGTTCTCAGTTTGGAGTCTTGTAGTGGCTGTCGTGTAGGGCCTGTCGCCATGTTAGACATATCTCTCTGAAGGGTTGGGCTTGCCTCCCAGTCTGACCGCGGGCCTGAAAGAGAGGAAACCGTTACTGCAGCAAGAGCCCTTACAATGCAAAGCCGTATTCATCCACATCTCCCCAGCCTCCCAGCCCTTTTAGGGTCTGAGGACTTGTCCATGGGGCACCAGCATGGGACGGGGTAAATGACCTCAGCAACCTGCCAAGGACCTTACTTGTGCCATCTTGTTGAATCCTCACAGCAACCTGAGGGATAGGCACTGGTAATGAGAGGTTAGAGAATGTGCCCAAGGCCATATAACTAGGAAGCGGTAGACAGGATCTGAACCCAGTTACACTATTTCTTGGAGCCTTTATCAAGGTCCCCATGGAGGTAAGAGAAGGAGGCTGATAACCAAAGTCATCAGCTGACCTGATTCTCAGCCCCTGGGAGGGTCACAGGGATAGGGGAGGATGTGAGCAAACCGCCACCATCAGCCAAGTAGAGCTACTTTATCTAAAAGTCCCCTTGCCAACCCAAATTTGATGTCACACTAAAAATGTGTGTTAATTCAGTACTGGGCTAGCACCCCCTAAATGGGCTAATTTGTCATGAGTGTCCAAAACCTTTCTGTTGAAGGTGAGCTGCCCTTGAACATCACTGAGTGCATTAACTCAGGTTTGTAGATTACTAGGATATGTTTAATCTATATAGCTTTATATTGGGTCATTGGGAAAGTCATGATGCATTTTTGCATTGAAAAACATAGAAAAATATGTCATGACTTTCCCAATGACCCAGTATTTCAGGGCAGAGTTTTATTTTCATTTATCCATTTCAAAATGAGAATATTCAGAAAAGATGAGATAAGGGATGATTCTCCTCCCAAAGCTCCCAACTGTACCCCAAGTATTGAAATTGCTAAAAATCCTTCTCTGTTTTTAGAGTCTTTATCACCTATAATACACACCTTGGAAATTCATTACATTTCCATTGTTAAAAATAGTGATGTGTAAATGTTGAATTTGGATCCCTGTACAGAAATATCACGGAATGTGAACTGCAAACCACAGGTGTAAAATTTGAAATGTTTTCATCTACTGAAAGGAGCTGGTGAATATGATTGGTTATTCTTAACCTTCTCCTCCCTTAGCCGCCAACCACAGGAAGGAGCCGAGCTTTGCGTAGAAGTTGCAGCTCTGCTACTTGCTGGCATTATGGCCTTGAACTCGTCACTACATGGCCTAAGCATCAGTTTCCTCATCTGTAAAATAGTGGTCACAGTAACTATTTTAAAGATTGTTATGAAACTTGAAGTAAAAAAAAAAATATATATATATATATATATATATACACATATATCTTTTTAAAATATATATTTTTTAAAAATATAAAAATATACATATTTATATCAAATACATATATAAAATATATATATTATATATATTATACACACACACACACACACAAGTAATAGGTACACTGTAGGCTTTCATCAAATGGTGGCTATTATTATTGATGATCTGAGTGTGATCATGTCTCTGCCTCTTTGGATAAGTTTCCTGATCTCTGAGCCAGTGATCTGTGAGATGGATGGGACCATGGTGTCTACCACATGGGGTTGCTGTGAGGATAAGAGAGATCCTGAGTGTAACCTCCATCACAGTGCCGGGCTACAGTGGGCGCTTGTTAGGTGTTAACACAGGGCTGCCTAGCCTCAGCGAGGAGAGAGGAGACTTGAGGGGCTGGTTTTTGTTTTTGTCTTTTTCCTGATCATTTCAGAATGGTCCTGGGCTGGAATTGGATGGGGCAGTCACTGGAGCTGCCAGGGAGCTAATCACCCTGCCTCTGGTACCCCCTTTTTTTCATTCCAGTCCTTGGCAGCAAATTAAGGCCCTGCATTGGCACAGGAAAATTAGGAACCAAGGCCATTATTTAGTTAGTTCAGGTGATAAAAGATTGACTCTCTCTCAAAAAAACTAGATCAAGTTAGTAGAAAAATATTTTTTTTTCTTAAGAAAACAGCAAAATCCAGATGCAATCATCCAGATAAAGAGACCTCAGGTCTTCTGAGAAGCTAGGGTTAATTAGGGGAATCCTTTAGATGGGTTTTTTGGTGCTCCGCCAAATAAGATGCAGATTTACTTCAGTCACACTCCTCCCCCATCAGTCCAACCTGGGCCTCCATTTTCTCCAGTTGCCAGCCTTCTGCCTCTCTGCTCCATCACTATGCTGACTCCCTGTCCCCAGGACTCCACAGCCATGTCCTCTCTTTGGGAAAGGTTCCCACCATTTGCTGCTTGGGAAGGTAGGACCTGAGCCCAAGGCTGCCCAGGGGGTTAGCAGGCCCAGCGGTTATAAGAGACTCACCTGGGACATTTGCAAACGCGTCTTCGGTTTCCTGGGTAAGGAAGAAGAAGAAGTAAAGTGACTGGCCCCCCTCCGCCCCGCCCCCCGGCCGCTAATAGTCCCCAAATATGGCTTCTCCTTCCCTTTTCCTGTTTCTTTAGGATTTTAACTATGGAGCGCCCAAGTGAGGGCTTCTTTTACATCCCTTTTTACGTCAATTTAAAAAACACTGCAAATACAGACGTGGGTGAACATGGGTTAATACAGTCACCTGAGTGGGACCCAAATTCCGATAAGGGGTTCACGGGGAGGGGGCCAAGGATAAACCTCAACCCATGGTGGTTTTGACCCAGCCCTGCTGGGCACCAGTCCCAGGACTCCATAAATCCCCTCCCCCCGTTTGTAATAAGCCCGGACCTGTGTCCTCACTACCCGGCGCGCGGGTGGAGCACACCAGCTGCTGCCGCTTGGGGATCGATAGGGCTCTATCTTCCAAAAAAACCTCCGGAGAGTGGAAGAGGGGCGGGGAGGGGCTTTCCCTGGTCCTGGCTCCAGAAAGAAATAGGTTGTGCCTGGCGCTGCGGTTCAGCTCCGAGTCCCAGAAATCTCAACCCCATCCGCCAGCAAGGGCTGCCTGGAGCAAGCGGCGCAACGCGCGGGAGCGCTCCCCGCCGCGATTCTCTCTAGGACTTACTGTGGTTACAGATGGCCGTGATGAGCAGAGACAGGAGAAGGACCGCGCAGGTCCCAGCCAGAGGCGCCCAGATGTAGGTATCACAAGCGAAGTGAAGCCACGTCGTGTCTACTGACGACATCGAAGACACCGACACTTAGGAGGGCCCGGATCCTCCACGCCACCCCAACAGCCCGGGCAAGCGTCCTGGCTCCGGGTCTTGGTTTCCCCACCATTCGGACAGCCCTCGGCTCTACCTCCAGGATCAGAATTGGCCTTGGTAGGGCTCTCCCCGCGGTCTGCACCGCCCCTGGCCTGTCCCCGCCCTCCGGACCCTGCAGCCGCCTCACCTGCTCTCCCTGCCGCTGGCCGGCACGTCTCCGGGCGTAGGGACACTGGCTGCGATGCGTTGGTGGGCGCCGGCGTGGGTGGCAGCGGCGCGGGCGTCGTGGGCTTCGCTGCGGGACCAACAGAGCGTGGTTGGGAGGCGGGCTGCGGGTATGGACCTTAACCCTCCCACCGCTCCACGCGCCTCTTCCCTAAGGGCCCCCTCTTCCCGGTGTTCCACCGGAGGATAGACCGTCGCCCGCGCTTCAGTCTGCTCTCAAAAGACGGGGGCGATAGGGCTCTGAGGACCTCCTGCTCTGCAACGGCCCTTTCGTGGCGGGCGCGGTAGCCTGCTGTGTCCCGCGCTCCGCGTAGCGCACCCGGCGCCTCCGACTGGAACGCAGGAGTCCGCTCCCCTCCACCAGCCTCTCTTCCCTGGTTGGGGCGCTCCCTTGTGGGATTGGGTTGATATCCGCAGTTTACTGACGAGCAAACGGAGGCTCAGAGAATTTAAATACGGTACCCAGGACCACACAAGCACCTGAACTCGAGTCCAGATCCGCTGGACCTAAAAAGACATCTTCAGTCCCTATCCAGCTGCACCTTAGCCTCGTCTGTGAAATGGGAACAGTATCTAAGTAGCCCCAAGGGGCTCTAAGAGGCTCGAAAGTGGGGCGTCTATGTGAAAAAATGGGTTCAGAGGTGAGTCCCCAACCCCACACCCAGAGGAGCCGCGCGCTCTGCACCCGGACCTGGCAGGAAGACTGGCACCAAGGGGCTGAAGTGCAACACGGCGTTGCTCAGGACCGAGCAGAAATAGTAGCCTTGGTCCTTTTCTTGGAAGTCGTTGAGGGTGAGGCTGTAGACGTCCTGGGTCTTCATCCCCGAGAACCGCTTGCTGTCCAGCCCCTCCGCCAGCTTGGTCCGGGTCGAGGAGGTGTACATTAGGAAGATGGGGCTGGTGGGGGCTCCTGGCTTCTGATAGAGCCACGAGCAGCCCTGCGCCGAGGTGGACAGCAGCACCTGACATTTCAGCGTCACCCGCTCGCCCCGGCTCTTGACCTCAACTGTCCGCGGCGACATCCGGAAGTCTCTCGACCCGAGGGCCGGAGCAGCATCTGCGGAGGGCGGGCGGAGAGGTTGAGCCGGGAGCCCCGCGCGCCCCGCCACCGACTCCGTCCCCACCCCACTCCCGCCTTTCTCAAGGATCGCCAACTCACACAGCAGCAGGGCCAGCGGCAGGAGCAGCCGGCTCACCCACAAGGCCATGACGCGCTCCCGCGGTTCCACTTCAGGCGCGAGGGGAGGCGCGCAGGAGACAGTGGCACATGGAGCAGGGAAGTTGCGCCCGTCCGACGGCCGCCGAGCCCGATTTCGAGTTGGGAGGATGTGATGTCATCCGAAGCCCAGGCGAAGAGAGTCATCCTCCTTCTCGCGGTTGTCACCTTCCAGCCCAGTGAGGGAGCTGGGGCCCGCGAATGGGAACCGTGGAGGCAGCCTTGCCGGCGGCT